TCCGGGCGGGGTTTTATTTGTAGTTCGGGTTAAAAATTTACGGCAACACCTGAGTTGCCCTTGGTGCTGCAAGTGTCCATGGGCAGTAGTGACCACTTATTATGAGGTAGACTGCCAGCTCTTTTGCCTAAATCAACATAAAAAAGTTGATTTGTGACATTTTTAACTGTTTTTTTGGTCTGTCCGGGTTCTGGGTAACAAAATCCGGGGTTATCACGCGTCTTATCCTGGTTGCCACATTTTAGAGATGGCAGCCCTATATATTAGTTAACTTCCGTGTTTTTATTCAGTTATCGATCCAACACAAACAGCTGTACCCTAAGCACGAACCAATATCGAATTCGAATAGTTTGCGAGTCCGAAATGTCATTGTCACTGTGTACTGATTTTTAGTTCTCGTTACGTACTTTGTGCCGCTGCTGTTCAAGTTTCCATACAAAATTTGACAATGACATTTCGTACTCGCATACGACACTCTACATGCTTAGAATGAAACATTTCATCGCATCTGTCTGTATATTTATGTACAGACAGATGACACCATTGACAGATTTAAATTTGAATTAAGAACTTTGGTAAAAGTGGGTCTAAGTGCTGTTTGTTATTTTATTGGAGAAGTTATCCACAGTTTTATTGTTATTGCATTTTTTTAATTTTATACGTCATTTAAAGCGTTTCTATCATTGAGCGTGGACTAAAGATGTTAGTTATTTTAATTTTTATCATTTACATGTTTCTTAGCCAGCTATTCAAAATAGTTATGAAACGGTAATAGTAATGAATGATTGCCATACTCGACTCTTCAGTTAGAGAATTCGAGCGTTTTATTATTGTGAAATAAAAAGGATATGACATAACTCTGTCTTCTTTTTTATAAAACATTACAAATGACCTCACAAACGAAAATATCCGTAGTAATTTAATTATTTTAATAAGAATTTCGTTTGGTTACGTCTTTCATTTATTTTTAACTACCGTTACGACTAAAATTGTTTATGTAAATTAGTAAAACTAACCTTTACTTCCCAATGGGTATGTATTGTGTACATTTTCACGAGCTGTATGGGACAGAAGTGGTTTAAATGAGGAGGTCGTAAGGGACTTTGTTTAAGAAGATAAACAATTTAGAGTATTTTCAATAGCTACAGGTTAAAGAACTCAAAATTTTATGTATGCTTTCCTTTGAGATGATCAAAATAGGCGTACAATATGAAAAGTTACAGCTGTTTAAAATAAAATTAAAACGTTTTTGGCTTCTCCTGAAAAGTAATGGTTAGACCCTTACGCCAATTGAAATTACGGTCGACGATATGTGATTTGCACTTGTATGAAACTCAAACACGTATTCCGAATATACAAACTAGAAACATGTGGATAAATATTATAAATATGAATACCTATAACTGTTACTTTATTACAAAAAATAAAGATGTGGTTTTTGGTTCTACTACACCAATGGTCAAGAGATGGCGCTGTAGTCTCCTGAATCGCGCTTTGGTTTCGTTGTTCCAGATTAATAAATACTTTTTGTTACTTTATTACATAAAATAAAGATGTGGTTTTTGTTTCTACTACACCAATGGTCAAGAGATGGCGCTGTAGTCTCCTGAATCGCGCTTTGGTTCCGTTGTTCCAGATTAATAAATACTTTTGATGGGCCTTTACAATGCAGTCGTTAGCACCCACTAAATAGAGATTCTATTAGACATGGGCGTTTTTGGTTTTGAACGCAAACGGATATTTATCGGATTTCAGATTTCAAAATCGATTTTAAAATCCGTTTTTAGATATCCGATTTCAGATGTGCTGAACTTAGCCAATTTACTAGTTTGTGTTATGATTTGGTTTTATTAGCTAACGACAATCACAAACAATTAATTGTAGGAAGCAAGGATACTCGTAGATATTCGCGATTTTCCTTCATGCTTTAAATCTAGGCTTAGGACTAGCAGAAAAGTTATGTTTACGGTTAAGAGTAAAACTTTTGCGGCGCATTTAAAAATCGGCTTTTATACAATGATTTCTTTTTACATATTTTTTAGTATTTTTATTTGTTATTCTGTTTGTTTTTATTATTTTTCAAACCATTTACAAAATCAAACCTAATTACTTCAGGTTAGCGTCCAAAAATGTAAGTTGCTCGACTTTTGATGTTTTTAGACGACATATCTTTTCAGTGATAAATAATCCCGCCTCAGAGAACAGCAATAGATTTCCGTAAACAGCAAATCGAAATCGGAGTTCCGATACCAAATCTGACTTCCGAAAACGAAAGCACGAATTTCGAATCCGATTTAGATTTGGATACTTGTGGTATTTGGTTTTGGTTCGGTTAGATTTCTGAAATCGGATTTTCTTGTTGAGAAATCGTTCGGTATCGATTTGTGTTTGAAATCGGATTTTGGATTCGTTTTAATATATCGGACGCATGCCTAGATTCTATTTCTATTTTGTTGGTAGATTTTCTTAATGTGCGGTAAACACAAAAGTAACGCATGAAGTTAAAATTTTGTGTTACAGTGATGCGCGCGCATCTTAAAATTTCACTCTCATCATTTTTTCATAACGCGCCTAAAGAAGTATAACTTCAAAAAAACAAACATTGTTAATTGTGTCATCAGCTAAACGACTTCTAATAGAGCGGCCTGCGGCCGAAAAGGCCCTTTCAGCTTCTACACTTGTCGGCTTTTTTGTAGCACCGGATCCGGTCTTCGGATCCGGTATATTGGTACCGGATCCGGTAAACGTCAAATGATGCCGGATCCGCCGGATTACCGGATCCGTTTTTCCGGATTGCAATCCCTAGTTGGAATTCTGGCCACAGTTAGACGGTGATAACGTAGGCCAGCGCGCGTGGTCCTCTGAAGGAAAGGGGAAAGTGGGATAAGGGAGATAACTCTTCAGAACACTCGCCGTGGTACAGACGATAGAACGCGCTTAGTGACGCCACGTCATGCGGATCGCGCGCCGCTGTAACCTATCCAAAGCATCGAGCAAGTACTTGGAGGAGCCATTTCATTTCATTCATTTCGCACTTCTGCAACTTATATTGTAAGGTTAATGGTTAGGTAGGTAACACAGAACGGCAGAAAGAGGTTAGAAGGACATCGCGGGCGGGGTAGATGCGCTTAGACATGTGTGAGCAAATGCTCATAACTTGACCAAAACTTAGTTCTGATTGCGTCGTTGCTCTCGGGTATGAACGCCGATTGGTACGATTGTTTGATGTCACGTCGTTTGATTGGATATTATCTATTAGATGGAAGCGTAGTGAGGGCAAGCAGCGACATCGGTTCCCGTGTTAAAACGGTTTATGATCACCCTTGTAACCTCTTCTGTGTTCTTTAGTAGGTAGTGACGATATACGAGCAACGATATTGATGTGCAACATTTTTCTTCTCGCTTTCCTGCGATTTGTGGGAGTGATCTCGTGAAATGGGACGGAAGTGTGTAACAGGAAGTCGCGAGAGCGCGTGCTGTTTGATTTGATTTTAGAACATAATGTTCAAATGGCTTATTCCTTTTGTAGTGGGTTTTATTTCTTTTTTTACTAATATAAGGTGAGGTTTCAAATGTTACACATCACGCGACTACTGTAAGACTCGCTCGTTTTTTTTTTAATATCGATGTTATCAAGTAATCTTCTGGCACTAGTTTGACAAATATTTTCAAGGTGTTTAGTAAATAACTTAGAATTCGAGTCCTAATTCTAATTATCGTTTCTCGTTAAAATTATGAGTGTATAAACTCATTGTTGGTATTAAACAAAAAAAAAAGAATATTCTCTATAACTTTAATTCATATCTAACAGTAATAATTTTACGCTGCAACCAAGGACGTATAAAAAAATTTATACGTCCTTTTTTATACGTCCATGGTTACAACATTAAAGGGTTGTTAAAACAACAGGGAGTGTCAAAACTACGCAATATGTGACTAAAAATAACGCGCCAAAAAGCAAACATGCGGAAGGGAACCAAAAAGTTAGCTTGACAAATCTATTATTTGTAAATTTAAATCAATTTTGGTAAATACAGCGCAGTTTTTTGACGTGACAACGTCTTAAATTAGGTTGCGGCTGGGAGTCACTTATGAAAAAGTGTAACGCTCGGTAACGTTACGATGAGTCTCTCGTGTTAAGTTTAAGTTTACATGTACAATGTTTTAGTAAACAAAATATATTTCTATAGTTAAAATTTGTGCAATTCTTATTTTCATTCAATTCCTTGTTCCTATTGTGCAATTTAATTATATTCATATCAATAAATATTCTACCGAGAAAAAGACGTTGTCACGTAAAATCTTCGCCCGTAAAACCGACTTTACAGGCAACCATTTTTTATTTTCAAATAATATTAGTAAACTTTTAAAAGTGTAATTGGATTAGGGTTCAAAAGTTCTATTTTTATGTAAACGGTATTATGAAAATCTAACTCTATCCTATTCAGATGGCAGCTAAAAGTCATTAGGTACAGAAATTTTAAAATTGCCAATACTGGGTCATTGGATGGGTGACCAAAAATCTTCCATCTCGAGTTCCTTCGTGCTTCGGAAGGCACGTTAAGCCGTTGGTCCCGGCTGCATCTGCATTCGTTAGCACTCGCACCCGCCAATCCGCACTGGGCCCGCGTGGTGGGTCGTGGCCCAATCTCCCTATTCCATCCCTAGGGAAGGCCTGTGCCCCAGCAGTGGGGACATTAATAGACTGATGATGAGGACCCAATACTGGTACGAGATTTCAAAAATTTAAATAATAATTCAGACCATTTAGTTTAAAATACCGATAGCACTCTGTTTCTATAAATAGCTGTTACCTATTAAAATTACTAGAGTCATTGAAGGACAACAACAATATAAGGGAACGGGAACAGCAGTCAATTCAATAGCACCCCTTTCTATTCAACGTATCCTCAATGAAAAGAGAATTTAACCCACGTTAAAAAGCTCTCATCAACACCGCACGGAAACGACGAAAAAAAATACAAAGCATACCTCCATTTATGGGCGAAGGATCTCTCCATTTTCGTTCAATATGAATTGATAAAACAACTCTAGATTCGTCGTGAAGTTGGCAACGGGCCAAGATGGCCGACCGACCAATGGCGGCGCGGAACGCAGCGAGCGCGCGGAGGCGAGCCACAGCTCAAAATTCCCCACCGCGCTCGACCGCCGTTCATATCTGCGAGCAGTGCGGTACAAGACTCGCGTAGTGTTAAGTAATTTATTTCAAATATTTTTCAAAACAAATCATGAGGGAAATCGTGCACCTCCAAGCCGGCCAGTGCGGCAACCAGATTGGAGCCAAGGTATATATTTATTTTTGTTATTTTACTATTGTTTCTAACTGTTATTTAAAGTTTGAATGTTAAGCGTTACTCCGTGACGGATTAGCTGTTGTAACGGTCCACGTTATCACTATGGAATCCGATTGTAACTTACTTGTTCCGTAGTAACATAAAAAATACACATATCTATGTCAAAGTACGCGTTATTTATAATATTTTTTAGTTTTCCACTTTTCTTGTCCAGTTTTGCATAGTTTCGTTCACTAGTTTTTCGGGTGGATATTTCAAAAATGTCTAATTTGAATTTTACACGCACGCCGCGCAAGCTTAGGTGATAGGGGTGGCGCGTCCCTAACAATTACACGCTTCGTTAGTTTAATGTGTAACTGTGAAACAGTTTTTTTTTTAAAACTATCTTATATGCAAGTCCAAAATATTGAAAACAGACTAGTTTGAGCAAATAAAGTCTTATATAACAGCTAAAGTCAACTGGTTTAAGTCTTCCAATCGACATTTCGTTTCTCCAGTATTACTCATAATAATAAGATAATTATTCATTATTAACAAATAACACACCGTCCTTCGATGTAACAAGGTGTTATTGATCAAGCATCCGAATTGGATAGTGACTCACCGAGCCTTATTATTTCTGATTGGCTGTGTGTTTAATTTCGTTTTAATTGCCACTTCTATCTGTCCCGCTGATATCGCAGATATCTTAGTTAAATAGGAAGTTTATCTCACCAAACACCGGAGACTCGCGGGAATATTTAGAAACATCTTCTCTCTCAAACTCAAGTCTTTTCAAAATAAAAGAAAGCTGACATATTTAAATTCAGATTACATTGAGACGAGGCCTTACTTTAACAGTAAAGATAGATTTCCAAACTTGTATCAATAGTATCGGAACTAGTTCCAGTCACCGTTTACCGGCAAATAGTTTTCCTAAGTCTGTTTGATGATGTTTCAGTTTTAGTCGCAAAATTATTCTTGCTGATTCCATCCCTCACCTATGTACCTATTTAAAGTGAAACAATATGATTTGAATACGTACTGAGTACCTACGTCCGCAATTAACAGCTTTCCTATCGAATCTTCAGTGAAATCTATCTATGGTATCGGAACTGGTACTATTGACCGTTTACCGGCAAATAGTTTTCCTAAATCTGTTTGATGATGTTTCAGTTTTAGTCGCAAAATTATTCTTGCTTTTTCCATCCCTCATCTATGTATTTAAAGTGAAACACCATGATTTGAATACGTCCTGAGTGCCTATGTCCGCAATTAACAGCTTTCCTATCGAATCTTCAGTGAAATCTTCACACACATAATGTAGACGGTGCATAAATTACATGCAATTTGCTTTGCATCTACTCGTGAACTAACTTTCATCGCGAACACAATGTTGTCATGACAATTTTAAAGACCATACGAGTTAATTAAGTAATAACGTAGTCGCCAACTACGAGTAGACAAAGACGTGAAATCTGTTAAGAAAACACTTTTTGAATCTATTGTTTTTCGTCTGTCGTTTCGCGCATATAGAATCTTATGCTTGCACTTCTTTTATAAAGCATGATTTAGGCCCGTTTAACGAAATGACAACCGAGTGTTGATCTTTACTTGAGTACAATTAGAAAGGGATGGCGCTAAGTGCTATATATAGCGACATCCCTTTCTAACTATGCTCAAGACTAGATCCAGTGCTGCCAGGTCTCCAGATTTTACAGGAGATCTCCTGTTTTTCTGAAATTTCTCCTGTTCTACTGTTTTTCTACATGAATCTCCTGTTTTTTTAGAATACGATTTTCTTTTTTCATGTTGAGTTGCATTTTCCGTCATTAAAAATGTAGATAACCTTAATAATTATAAAATAAATGTAATCTAGTCTTTATCTGGATTTGATTTACCAATTTTGGGGGGGGGGGGGGGGGGTTCAAATCGGAAACGCCTCTGCATCTACTGTTTTTCTTGTAGCCATTTCCATACATCTACTGTTTTTTTATATAACGCTTCCCGATTTTTGAAAATCGGACCTGGTAACACTGACTAGATCAGTCACTGAGAATTTTTCTATAATACGGGCCTTAGACAGAGTATTGTCAAGATTACAAATAGCAAATACGAATAGCCAAGTGCCGGCATTCGTAATCGTAATAATAACCAAAGAACGACTGAATTGCTCGAAACGAAAGCCGAAAAGCCATGTATTTTTACCGTAACATTAATCGCTTTGTACAGCAACGGAACTAAAAGAATCTGGTCCGTTATAAGATAGGTGGGTATAGTATGAGCGTTTTGTAAAGAAATACCCATTGATTTATTATTTCTCATTTCATTTAACTTCACCCCCTTTCACTCTGTTTTAATTTGCGTCCGTACAAATCATTAGTTAGTTATTCAGAATTAGTCATGTGTAAACACTTCGGTATCTTTGTAATTAATATGGTATGCATTCGACTCTTTATTTATAATAATATACTCATTCCGCGAAGCAAGAGCGCCAGCTGATTAAATAAGTATGTTTTTCTTCATATTCATTTGATTTCATTATTTAGGTCGAGGTATCTCATAGACAGAATGAGCCGCTTTTGCTGGAAAGTTGTTGCTTGTCGGTTTTTCTCATAAATTCCAGATTGAAAGATACAACCTTGTATATTTAAATACATGTCTTTAAACGACTTCCCACAATCTTGTTAGTTGTTAGACAGATAACTAAAAGGACAGGTGGGTTTATGCATAAATCTCTTCCGGATTACAAAGTACTTGATGAATACAAGATGAGGAGCTTGATGGCGCAAGTGGTTAGCGCGCTCGGCTGCGGTCGTTGAAGTTAAGCAACTTTGACAGTGGTCGGTCATTGGATGGGTGACCAAAAATTTACTATCTCGAGCTCCTCCGTGCTTCGGCAGGCAGGTTAAGCCGTTGGTCCCGGCTGCATCTGCAGTCGTTAGCACCCACCAATCCGCACTGGACCCGCGTGGTGGGTCATGGCCCAATCTCCCTATTCCATCCATAGGCCTGTGCCCCAGCAGTGGGGACATTAATAGGCTGATGATGATGATGATGATGAATATAAATTTTATAGGTACAGAGTTAGCAACACATTTCTTTGCAACGAAACGTTATATATGAGCAAAACAAAAAAGTTACCCACTACGTTTAGTTTCCGCAGACACGGGCGATGCGATGTCGTTACGGACAATTTCATCTTATGATTGCGAAACGAAACAATGAACGAAACGCAAACGATGACCTCAGCCGTTTTTCATAGTCTAATGATTTCGATAAACATAACGAATGATTCATATAGTACAACAGTACATAGTGAAAAAGTAACATGACACATATTGCTTTAATCTCAAGGTAAAGTTTGTAGTACATAAAAAAACAGCTGTTTTATTATGGAACTAAGAAACAATGTAATAGTATTGTATCACGCACTACAATTTCCCAGAATTTAGACAGTATTTAAAAAAAACTTTTTAAAATTACTTAAAATCCGAGTGGTCCACATTCAGCGTCTAATTCCAATAGATCGACTTTTGACCAAATCACTGATCATCCCGCCTTCGCTACAGGACATCCTAGCAAGCCCAGAAAACTTTTTACCTATTTACGAATTTATAAACTCGACACTTGGAGAAATAATAAAACAACCAAGGATTTTACTACAATATATGACGATTATGAATACTCCTGGACAGAACAAAATATTTTACAATTTACTGAAGATTTGGCTTATTGCCTCTAAACAAAAACAAAAGAACAGATTTGGCATTGCCTATATCTTTATATATATAATTCTTCTGTGAGTGTGTGTCACTGAACTTCTCTTAGACGACTGGACCGATTTTGATGAAATTTTTTGTGTGTGTTCAAGGAGATCTGAGAATGGTTTAGATTCACAATTTTGTCCGCTGGACAACCCCTATTTTTTTAGGGCGATACGAAGTTCGCTGGGTCAGCTAGTAATATTATATGACAACTAGAATTATGAACGTAAGACTTGGCAGTATGGCTTAGTACCTTCGCCTGTCCCAATGGACGAAATTAAACTATTACTACTAAAATCCGAGTGGGTTTTTAATAATACTCCTCTTTTCGGTTATAAAATTTGACAATACAAGTCGCCTTTAACAGTTACGAAATTAAGGAAAAATGTTATGAAAGAGACAATAGTAAGAGCTACATTGTTAGATTTCGACTCATATCTATATATATAAAACTCAAAGGTGACTGACAGACTGACATAGTGATCTATCAACGCACAGCCCAAACCACTGGACGGATCGGGCTGAAATTTGGCATGCAGGTAGATGTTATGAGGATTTTGATCAATTCTACCCCCAAGGGGATAAAATAGGGACTGAAAGTCTGTATGAAACTTTGTCAATTTTAAACCGATCGGGCTGAGACTTTGCATGCAGGTATAAGAAGAATCATAGATGAATGTCATTGTGTATAATACATGCCTGAGAACATAAACTATAGTCTGCACTTCAGCTCTACACCGAAGCGAAGCGAGGACGGGCCGCTAGTTCATATTAAAACAATAGTTGTCATAAAGATACCAATTTTATACTATTCAAAAAAGTTTCATTACAGTATTCCCGTATCCGTGCATTCGTACATGGTTTTATCATTATCTTCAGCTATTAGATAGATTAGAGAGGGCATTGCACTCGACGAGCCGACACGATTGACGTCGGTCGGTCGGACTCAGCCGTCGGCCGAGGAAGCTCCAAGCTCATCTAAAAATAACTACCATCATCGGCACACAGCCGTACTGAAGTGCAGTTTATGAAAGCGCACCACTTTGGTGTCATCGGAAACCACTTAAAACGCGAGATCCGACTTCCATCCATATATTTCAATCATCATGTTTTCTTTTGACCAAAATAAGACCAAAATACATGTTTATTATCGCACAACTGCTAAAAAGTTGAAAATTGTTTTAAAAACAAATTAATCTATTTGTATTTACCATGCATATTTCAGATAACTTTTTTTCCAACAATCAAAATATTGTCTCAAACACAATATGTAGACACGTTATATTGTACTTTGTAGATGTTTATTTGGATGAAAGAGTTGCGTAAAGACAGTTCGCAAAAAATCTAGTAAGCAAACAAATAAGACAGCTTTTCCCTATATCTTTCTATAGTAACAGCTTGAATTCACTTCGTATCTACATATATAACTGGTACAATTGCTCACTCAACGTACGTACGTACTTCCAACTGAAAGGTCCATTGTGATTTGTGACGGACTTTAGTTTCCATTGCCAGTGAGTACGTTAGGCGTTCACACACTTTCTTCTCACAATTTATCTAGTTGCAAGCAGAAAGCAACCTCTCGCCACAATCGAAGTAACGTCGATCGCCTTTCACTTTTTGTTGTTATTAAAAATCATTATTCTACCGCTTGACGTATTTGAAAGTAAGAATCGGTGGATGTTATGATGGGTCCCCTTCGTTTTTGATAGATTTGTGCGTCCGTCACGTCGACAGCTGCAGTTTCTAGGCTACGTAATGCTATGCTGTAGTACATTGCCGAATTCATTTGCATGTATAAAACCTGCTTGTGAAATAATATATCTACATCACGACTAAGTAACTAAAGCATTTCTGATTGAAAATAAGGACGTACCCGGCGATAGTAGGTATAGAAAAGTTTCATCCAGTACGATTTAGAACTCTACGTGTTCAGATGAGGAGACCTTTCAAACGTTTATAGACAACGGAGGTAGAATCAATTAAAGTGTTATTCATTACCATGTATCTTATGTTTATTCGTCGAATCTCGAAGCCCTGAACCGCAAGCTCGCCGCCGTATTAGTCATTTTGCCTTATAAGTCGCTGTTAGGCGCGACGCGCTCGCCTTACCCACACAAGCGCCTACAGGGATGACATCATACCGAGTGATCGTCGCTTACGTGTCTTTCTACAGCTGAATTTTAATACACACTAAACAGTCAGTCGCTATGCGGTCACCAATACATAGAAGGCTGTGTTATTGTCAAGGATTTATGATTTCATCATAAATTAAATGGGGGAAGGGAGAATATGAAATGCTAACTTTCTCGTATCGTCCTAGTAAAATTTAACGTAGTAATTAAACGATTGTAGACGGAGGGATCATAATTTAAGAACCATGAGTTAGGTACCGGTGGTTTGTTAATATTGTCATGTAATGAATATTCTGCCAACATCCCAAAAATATATTCAGTTTTGGGCGTGAAACTATATTGATAGATCACTTTTTAGAACGCAATTCTTTAAATCGAAAATCCTTTTCATATACTCGTTAAAGGATTACTTGCGTGCCTTAATAAGGAGGACTTCGAAAGTTGAATATTATGAAAACGAGAGACCATATGGTCGGAACGCCCGAAATCCAGGCCATGGATTTTAAGCCAGCACCGAAAAATTGGTTGCTAATAAATTTTAAGCGACTCGTTCGAGACGCTCTCTACTTATTTGGAAAGATAAGCCAAATAGGGACGGAGCGTGGGCGTCGACCGCCGTCGCCAAGGCGAGTGAGTGAGTGCATTGTACACGCCTGCCATAACTCAAGCCATTGTCTCTCGCTTGCGTAATGTTCTGAAGCAAAAGTTTTCATTAAAGTAGTATTATGTATCCTGTCTACCGTCTACGCGATGGATCATTGAGCTCGTACCAAAGTTTTGATTATAACAGCTACTATTTTGTACCGTTCTATTTGAATAAACCGGAGTCTGTGCAATGAGTACCTAGCGAGAAATCTCAACGCACTTAGGCCTGCTTGCATAGAACCGGTTTGAAAGCCGCACTTACAAATGACTCTGAGTAGTACAGAGCTTTCGTGTTGGAATGCTAATCGATAATGTTGAAGCTCGCTCGCTCAAACAATAGTTTCTTTCTATTAAGATTTATATTTCTTGTTTTCTGTTACAGTTCTGGGAAATCATCTCTGACGAGCACGGCATCGACCCCACCGGCGCTTACCATGGCGACTCCGACTTACAGTTAGAGCGTATCAACGTATACTACAATGAGGCTTCCGGTGGCAAATATGTGCCTCGTGCCATCCTCGTCGATCTGGAGCCCGGCACCATGGACTCCGTCCGCTCAGGACCCTTCGGACAAATCTTCCGCCCGGACAACTTCGTCTTCGGTCAGTCCGGTGCCGGCAACAACTGGGCCAAGGGACACTACACAGAAGGTGCTGAGCTTGTCGATTCAGTACTTGACGTAGTACGTAAAGAATCAGAATCATGCGATTGCCTACAGGGCTTCCAGCTCACACACTCCCTTGGCGGTGGTACCGGATCCGGTATGGGTACCCTACTTATCTCAAAGATCCGCGAAGAATACCCCGACAGAATTATGAACACATACTCAGTCGTCCCCTCGCCCAAAGTATCAGACACTGTCGTAGAACCGTACAACGCTACCCTGTCAGTCCACCAGCTCGTAGAGAACACAGACGAAACATATTGTATCGACAACGAGGCTTTATATGACATCTGCTTCCGCACGCTCAAATTGTCCACACCCACATACGGCGATCTCAACCACTTAGTCTCTCTCACAATGTCTGGTGTCACCACCTGCCTCAGGTTCCCCGGTCAGTTGAATGCAGATCTCCGCAAACTTGCCGTCAACATGGTTCCTTTCCCACGTCTTCACTTCTTCATGCCCGGTTTCGCCCCTCTCACATCCCGCGGAAGCAGGCAATACCGAGCCCTAACCGTACCCGAGCTGACGCAACAGATGTTCGACGCCAAGAACATGATGGCGGCGTGCGACCCGCGCCACGGCCGCTACCTCACCGTGGCCGCCATCTTCCGCGGACGCATGTCCATGAAGGAAGTCGACGAACAGATGCTCAACATCCAGAACAAGAACTCGTCCTACTTCGTCGAATGGATCCCTAACAACGTGAAGACAGCCGTGTGCGACATCCCACCGCGTGGCCTCAAGATGGCCGCGACCTTCATCGGCAACTCGACCGCCATCCAGGAGCTGTTCAAGCGCATCTCGGAGCAGTTCACGGCTATGTTCAGGCGCAAGGCTTTCTTGCATTGGTACACCGGCGAGGGCATGGACGAGATGGAGTTCACCGAGGCGGAGAGCAACATGAACGACCTGGTGTCCGAGTACCAGCAGTACCAGGAGGCCACCGCCGACGAGGACGCAGAGTTCGACGAGGAGCAGGAGCAGGAGATGGAGGACCACCATTAAGCGCTGCCGATGCGTTATCGGTCGCTTCAAAAGTACATGCCATGCCATTTTATGTCCTGTTACTTTTTGTTTAAGTAACATTATTGATTCCTATGAATATTGAAAAGACATGCTTTCTAACTTTTAACAGAATGCACGACTAAACTATTTGCCGGTCATGACACTGTAACGTAAACCGAAAGCATTTGAATTGCCTATAATACATTCCTTGTCATTCAACCGTACCTCGTTGAGAGTAAGATCTGAAATTAGTAAAGGCTGATCTATTATAAAGACATCTCTTTATGTTTTATATAGTTTGGATCCACATATCTACCAAACGTGATTAATTATGATGGCTTCAATAACAGAAGTTTTATTAAAATTGTTTTGAACAATAATTTATTGTATATAATAAAGATTATTATTTATTTAAATGAATTGTTTCAATTTTGTATTACTATCAAGCTTTCTTATCTTACAGTTACACCTACTTATCATGTCCTCATTGTGTATGAATTAGATAATGGTTATTTTTGGTCACAATCACATCCATCACGAATGAATTAATGATGTATGTCACATGTCAAAAAGTACTGAAAAGTACACATTGTGGACAGAAATACAAACTACAGGTTTTAAAGGTTAAGACTGTCGCCATAACTCACGTCAACAGGCTAATAATGGAATAGAAGGAAATTCAATCAATTTCTTAGTAAACAAATGAAGTAAGTATAAAAATATGTCAAGGCCAAATGACGGACAACTATTTGTGATGATAGGTAGAGTTATTAAGAGGTCAAGGAAATCAGGGATTCATCTGAAAATTTATTGCAAGCTCGCCTTGGGGGCCACAAGTTAACGAATCATTTAAGTTACCCGTCATTGACCCAGAATGCACATATATATCCTGAACCTGGATAGATCGGCGTGACATCGCGATGTTAGCTAAGAAATCATGTCAAACCTAATAGATTTCATACTTAATTTTCCTCTATTTGACAAACTTGATTCTACCAACCCAACCAGCGAAAAAAATTTCAAAATATTTGTACTAGCAGTACTAAGAGTACAAGGTGATTTCCTAGTAAACAATTGTGTCAATGTCAAGAGAGGAGAGAGGGAGGGAGGCGGGGTTATGTTGAGTAAACAAAAATATGAATACCACTTAAATGAAAAAAACAACATATTAAGTGGCTATTTTACTATAAGCCGGAGTACCTTGGACGTAAGACCTACTTCGTTAACACCTGACATCATCTTCCAGTTACTATATATAGAAATGCACAATACAAAACGACCACACAGAGTTGACCTCCAGCAATCGCGGACATTGGTTGCATCCGTTCAATTTTGCTATTAAAAGTTGTTGTCAAGGAGTTCTTCGTATAATGGTTTGTCTGTTACCGTATCTCTACCTATGATGTCAGTGGTCGAATTCATTGCAAACAAACAAGCTTATGTCACGCACGCTTAGGGTTGCCAACCCTACTTTAAAATATAGTATCCTACTATATCAGGGGATCAAATACTATATTTCTAAAAAAGTATATAGTAGGCGAAACTACTATATTTTAGTTATGATTTTATTTATTTTTTAAGCATTTAACTGCTAGATGTTTAAATCTAAAGAAAAGTTTACTAGAAAAAAAGAAAAAAAAAAACCACGCGGACCAGGCAGCGGACGGGACTCGAACCCGCATCCTTCGCTATCCGGGCGAATGCACTGACCATTATGCTACCACGGCCCTATTAGCCGCGTCGAAATTTTCCTAGCCTTAAGCTGCAAGGCAGCGCCATCTCTTCGCATTATAGGTAACTATATTTTGCTTAAATCAGACTTTGGGGGCGTCCATAAATTACGTGAGATGTTTAAGGGGGGGAGGGGGTCGAGTCAAATCTCATCTAATCTTACGTTGGAGAGAGGGGGGGTCGAGTCAAATATCACGCAATTTTTTTTCTAAAAAATATACTATTTTGGTCCATTTAATCCAGATTGTACATGCTTAAAATTTAATCTTAAGCGAAATCGTAATACGATTAAGATCATTTACTATTTCGTTTGAAAGAAATAACTCTCAGCAATATTGATTACTAGTCGTAAATAAAAGCACGAAGCATTTTTTTTTCTTTTAACAATAACAATCCAACGCATTTAAGTAAGAAACCCACATTTTGAAAAATCTCACGTGAGATTGGGGGATGGGGGAGGGGGTTGAAAAAAATCTCACGACATCTCACCAGGGGGGGAGGGAGGGACAGAAAATTCAAAAAAACACCTCACGTAATTTATGGACGCCCCCTTTTGCCAACAAAAGCTTTCTTAAAAATAAAAACTGTATTATTAAGGTAGGTATAGAGCAGCAGAAATATACTCATTTTAAAAATAAAGTCAATATTTAAAACACATACTATATTTATCTTACTTGAACTCTATCTTTAGAGGTAACAGCTTTGAAAATACTAGATATGATAGAAAAGAAGTTGGAAACCCTACGCTACGCCAGTTTGTGCAAACAGGTTAAATAATTTAGATCACGCGAATATGTCATACGATCAGTCATGAAGTCAGCTATTCGTTTGTGGTTACAAACTAACATTTATTCGAAGATGTTATTGTTGTACAAATAATTGCGATATTCGTGGAACAAACCTAACCACTTGTATGTAGGTAGCCTCGATGATACGAGAGTGGGTACATTGGTGGGCACACTTATAGGTCATTGGTTAGTGTACTTTATATAATTATATATACCCAATCATAGTCACATACCTGTTTATTGAAGAAAATTTAATAAGTAGGTAAATGGTGGCTATACCAAATACATTTTTTTTTTTATATATTACTAGGTAGGCAAATGACTCTACCCCACCTGATGTTAAGTGATGATAAAGTCCAAACGCGAAGATAGCTGGTACAGCAGTTATAAACTGCTACACCAACCATCCTCACCTTGCCGGCCCGCAAAAATGCTTCTTCACGCCTCTCTTAAAGGACCCCAGATTATAGGAAGGAGGGAACACGTGCGCGGGTAAAGAATTCCACTTACGAATAGTACGACAAAGAAATGAGTCGCCAAATTTCTTTGTTCGTGTAGGAATAGTGGCCTCCATATTTTAGTGACCTTCAAAAAAAGTATGCAATAAGCTATTAAGTACTAAAATTTAATTGTTTGTCGTTATAGCGAACGAACGAACACACATTCTGTGAAAATTGCAACTATCAACCGGTATCGGTTCATAATAATACCTGCTGACACACAGACGCAGTGACTAAATAGTAGGTATTATTTATATTTTTTTGTTTTTAACCTCGAATAAAATAATAAAACCTTTAGAGGTTATATTGCATTTATAAATCTGTGTTACGCAAAAAGTTGTCAACCCTACAAAAGCGGCACAGAGCGATCGACCGGCGGCATCCTAATTCGAGCAGCTTTCCCGCGAGAAATGCATTTCTAGCAGATTTTTCAAAGGCCGAGCAAGTCGCAAAACCCCGCATGGTAGATTACATGATATTCTTGTATATATTGTATTTTTTCTTATAAAAAGGTTATTTAAAATTTGATGTACTTGAGACCGATTAGTGTCTGTAGTGAATATCACTGCTGGGTGTACGGTGACCTATATTCATTATTTTTATTTCCTACATTACTTACCAATTATTGGTCCATGCCATTACCATTATAACACAAGTAACATTATCGAGTTCAATAAAATAGTAGAACCTTGATAACTTACACCTCAACAACGTAAAAACTAGAGATGGGCCGACTAGCTGTCGACTAGTCGGGAAAGACAACTATTCGGCAAAACATGCCGATTATAATCGGCACATAACAATGAAATAAAACTCAAAACTTATGCTTGTTTTGCATATTTAAACAGCACCTAGAGTACTCGTATGTATTTAAAGTTACCTACAGTCTTAAAATATAAAAAAAAAAATAAGGTAACGCAAAAAGAATTAGGAACTTAAGAATCTGTCGATAATTCAGATAACTTAACACAATGAATATCGCACGTAACAAAATAGCAATGGAAAGTAAGTATATATGTAGTAATGGAGTAAAATCTTAAGTGCTAGCGAATTTTAAAGAAATCCATAGGTTAAAATTTTTGCCTTAGAGGCAAATTGTGATGTTGGAACGTGATTATTTCGACTAGATTTGGGAGACTCTTGTGGTGCGTGAGCAAGTCGAATAGTGACGAAATATTCCGAACACCTTCCTAAGAGAGGTATTAGAATGATCGGCATTGCAGAATAGTCGGCCGACTAGTCGGCAATTCGTAAACCGATTAGTCGGTTAGTCGGCAAATACTATACTCGGTCCATCTCTGTAAAAATCTCTATAAATTCGTAAAATTTTGTGTTCGCATCCCCTCTGAGACCAAAACCTCTTTTATTTAAAATACAGTAACTCAATTTTTTAACGACGACGACCTTTGTAACTTCAGTCATCTATCAATGAGTCATTATAAATTAATGTGCCAAGAAAAAAGGTTCCCTGTAGACCATTGTTATATCTTACACGTATTTACCAAATAGCTTTGAATGTAAACAATACACTAATGGCTAAGGGGTCAGTACTGTAACTTATTTGTATCATTAGCTTTTAGCCTTCTTTCAAGCATAGCTCGATTATCTCTATAAATTCCTAAACATAGCTCATAAACGATCCTCTGTAAGTATATATATAAACAAAAAATGGATGCGTGTAACTTATGTACGCGCGTGAGAAGTTATACTTCTTTAGCATCATTAAAAATATTTTTAATTGCATGCAAATAATTAATAATTACAATAAAATAATAAAAGGACTGGAAAAGGATAGTTAACACAGTCAATTAAGTTCAGTTTAAATTTGAAAAATTAAATAAATATTCAAAATATTCAATTAAAATCACTACTGAATTTAAGTTATTAGTCCATATGTAATTAGCACTTGTAAGTAACTAAAACAAAAAAACTAGAAACATGTGGATAAATATTATAAATATGAAAACAGTGATCAGAGGCGACGAGCGTGCCAACATTGTTTTTGACAACGCGGTCATCTTATGGAGCTCCGTGGATCGTTCAAAGTACCTTTCGAACAGATGTCTAATAATGGTGGATTATTAACCACTAAGTGGTTAATAATCTACCATTATTAGACACTAACATTCATAACGCGCCAGCGGCCAACTTCATGGTGTTACTATTGTGTTACAGTGATGCGCGCGCATCTTAAAATTTCACTCTCATAATTTTTTCATAACGCGGCTAAAGAAGTATAACTTCAAAAAAAACTCCTTAACTCAAACCCTTATTTATTTATTTATTATAGGTACACTAACAGTACTGTAACTTAGTAAGTAAAAACCTCAATAACTCAAATTATTTAACGTTTCCCTTGGTCTTTATCTTCTTATCGATTTTCTACTATGTGAACTTTC